CGGGCCGCCGCGCCCGAGCGGGTGTTTCTCCCGCGGGGGTTCCTCAGGGTCGTGGTGTCAGCACCGGCTCGCCCGTCACCGGCGGCGCAGTACCCGTTGGGTGCGCCAGGAGTCAGTCACGGAATGTAAACCGGGCTGCCGGTACACACCCCCCTGCGCCAGCGCTCGGCTGGGGCTTGCTGGGGCCGGAGAGTACAATAAAGTCGAAAGGGAATAAAAAAAAGGAGTGTTGTTATTGGAACAAAAATGCAGGGGGAGCTGCTCAGCCACCGAAAGGCCGCTGGGCCCGGGGATTTCCTGGAAAGTCCGCCAGAACTGGAACATAATGCCACTTCTAACAAACCCGGTTTTCAGGGGCGATAGGTAGTTCCCTCAAATAATTAATGAAAACGTGCCTTGGTAGAACTGAGGTTTTTATCGGTGACTGCCCCCTAAACACAGTGATTTAAAGACAGCTTTAAAAGGGAAATAAAATGCAAGTGTCCTATGTAATGGGTTAGTTCTCTCCTTTGACAGTGTCGCTTTGCCTTATCGGGACGAGCCAAAGCGGCGGGTTGACAGCCACCCCTGTACCCTTGTTCTACAGAAATAACTGTTTTACAAAATAAGAATAAAGTCCTTCTTTAAAAAACTTTTTTTTTTTTTCTACTTCAGTGAGAAAGGGCTTCGTTTCTCCACTTTTTCTCCTTGGGCCTGGTTATTGGGTGAGGTTTGCTTACAAAGGCAGCTTTTATTTCAAATAAACTTTTCCATTATGAGTGCAATTGAGGTAATTCCATGGGCAGAGCTCTTAAATATCTGTTAATTTCTGTACTTGCTGCTATATAAAGATAATTAACTGCAGAAGTTATTAACGCAATTGCATATGTACGCGTTGACACATTCTCCTTGGTGTGGCGTCGGAGCAGCTCGGCGGTAGTAGTGGGCTGGAAGCCCCACGCTGAAAAACTCTCCAGTGCTCCGCAGCAAAGAGAAGGGGTCATGGTTCTACTCCACTCTGCTCACCGTCCGCGGCTGAAGGTGCTCCAAGATGTGTTTGGGGACAAGTCTTTGTTGCTCCAAGAAGAACGAGCAATACAAAGCCAGTTTGTGTTTGGTGTTGAGCCGTGTGGGCTGTGCTGAATCGCTCGCTAACCCGCAGGACGTGTGTTGAATGTATACAACAAGTCAGCGAGGCTCAGCTGGAGCACTGATTCCAAAGCCACGTCCCTGCACAGGTGTAGAGCTCCTGCTCATCCTTCCTCTTCATTTGCAGAATGGTCCTGGTTTTCCAGTCCATAATATGGGTTCAAATTGCTGTCCTCTTTTTTTTAATGTCACCTGGAACACGGCACTTTTGTCCCCCTCTGGCCTGAAGTGTATTTGTAGGAAGCATCATCTTAGCTCCTTCTTTTTCATCTTTGTATTTGTCTTTTTCCTCATCTGCTTCAAACACTTTAGCCATCACGCCATGTCTACCAAATCCAGGACTTCTCAGAAGCTATGTTTTTTTAGCTTTTCTAACAAAGCTATCTTTATCAATTTTCTGGGTCCGGAATAGCTTTCCACAGGCACTGTGCTGAACAACCTCATCATCTTTGTCTCCAAGTTCAGCCTTTTTTGTTTGCCTTACAGAGGCGATCACCCTCTGTATCTTGCCTTCTCATACATCTTGGCAGCGGTGGAAAGGGGAAGGGAGAAAGCTTTGTAGCTAGCTTAAGACTCAGTATTGTTTTCAGGTAGCTTTTTTGTCATTTTTTCAATATTGTGGTTGAATTTAGATCCTGAGTTCTTTGAGGCATAAACCTCCCTACTTGCATATGTGGAAAGTGCTGTGCATACTAATGCAACTATTTAAATGCTGAATTAAAAATATCAGGGGAGAGGTGCCCAAACCCAAATCCTCTTTAAAGCTAATATAAAAGAGCTGTATTGCTGTTTGCTTCTGCAGTAGAGGGGAAACGCACACAAGCCGTGTTGGAATACTAAGATTAAGACTCTTCTTTTTTATTTTTTGCCATTTCTTTGCTGTCTGTTCAAAGCAGCGATGCTGGTTAAGCAAAGGGAACTTTAATCTCTCGCCTTCAAAATAAAAGATTTGGCATTCAGATCCCTCTGAATGTGCACATGGCCTTTAATTTACTTTAGTTATAGACCACATGTTTCTGGACATTTTTTTTTTTTCCTTTGCTGCTGGGTTATTAGCATAAACCAGTTCTAAAGGTTTCAATACATAACTCAGTAGCTAAAAATCAGAGCAAGAAATGGGCTTTATTGTTCATACTAATAATATTCACCCCTACAATGTCCTGAGTGCATTTAATAGAACTTCTGCTTTATTTTATTAGGATTAAGAGAAAATTCTTATATCCAGTTCTAAACTATGATATATTAGATTGCTATAATGTTGCGATTTTGATTTCTGTATTTTTTCATAAGAACCTTTGCTCACTATTGCATGCTACTCCACTATTTTATTAATTCAATGTTAACACAATTCTCATTTGCTTTTAAATTAAATATTCATGTCAAATCTCTGAACTTCAGAAAAAAAAAAAAAGGGCTGGAGAAATTCAGCTTTAACTCTTTACAGAAAGTAATTTATTTCCTTTAATGGGAAAGCACTCTGGATTATATTCAGTCTGTATTGACTTGTCCTTAGGCAATCCCAATTTATCTTCTCTCCAGGGTTAGCACTTCAAGATACTCAAATCAATCAATGAGTTATCATCCCCTGAAGTTTGTGGCCTGAATTCATAAAGATTAGTTTCAATAAAGTTTCTACCTCTATTCAAAGGAGACTGCAAAATCAAACAATCCAATTACAGATTTATCAAATATTAATCATGAAAATCTTCCAGATCCTTCTGATGCCAACATTCTTCTCCCCTGGTGTCAGGAAAGTAATTAGCAGCTGGCTTTGATTAAATTCTTCCCTCAGAGATTACTTTTCTCAGTTTGGGGGAGAGGAAGGAATGCATACAAGATGATACCTAATTCCTTATTTTAAAGTCTTTTCTGAAAAATACACATAGGTTCAGTTAACTGGACACTTCTTTCCATGAAGATGGAAGAAACTCACACTCTGTCCAGGAACCTGCAGCAATTTCAGCAGTGAAACCTGAAGTGCATGACTGGCTTTTCCTGTTGTGTTACTGAGATGCTCTTTTTCCTTATCTTTTTTTTGGGGGGTGACAGCGGCTTCCTCTCGGCGGTTTGAATACGGTGCAGCATGGGGAAGAGTCTCAGCAGCAGCAGCAACTTCAGAATGAGAGGGATGTGAAAGGGAACTTTCCCAGTCACCACCACCTTCTGCCGGAAAACTGAACTCTCAGCCATAGTTGTCGTTCTTCTTCCCCATCCCCAGACTTGCTGGATTTCTTGGTCTGCAAGCAGAGAAGGCAAAGGTGCCTCTGGGAAGCTGTTTTGGTGCCTAAGACAAGAAAAGAGTGAATTTTCATCCATTCCCCCTCTGCTCTTCCAGGGCCAAGAGAAGTTGTGGAAACGCCATCCTTGGAGGCCTTCAAAAGTCAATGGGATGAGGTCCTGGGGTTGGGCTGGAGACCTCCAGAGATCCAGCATGGAAATGTGGCTTCTCCTGTGACTGGGAGTTCATGAAAATCAGAGGGTTCCTCTCACCCAAGCATCCAGTGCTCCTGGAGAGTTCCTTGTTTGTCAGCCAGCACCTGCACTGGTAGAGAGAGACATGGCATCTCCTGTATCTGCTCAGCTCCGTGGCACTGCTCTTGTAATCTGTTTACCTGAGTTATGAGTGATGGACCTGGATTCCTGTCCTGTTCAGTATGAGGGAAGTTTGTCTTGATTTCTGCAGAGAACCTTGTACTTTTCCTAAAGCACGGATGCTGCTATATAAAGCCCAACCTTGAGACAGTTAGTTCTCCTGTCCTCTTCACTTGTTGCAGGAACAAGAACTTAATCAAAACCTCTTTGTCTTCGCAGTTATTCATTAGCTGAAAGGTAGAATTTTCTTAAGCCTATCCAAGCAGAGGCTTTTGGAATACTTCCATAATCATTAGAGTTGCATCTTTTTGCCTATTTTCCCCAAACCAGAGTTTCATCCTTAAACGTGGGCCTTTGCTGCTTACATGGCCCAGTTCACCCTGTGGTTAATCAGATGTGATTAATCTGGAGGCAGTGGAATTGTACTTGATTATGAGAGCGGCGGGTTTTCGTTTGTAGGTGCTTATCTGAATATTGCAGGAGCTTGTTAAGTGGTCATAAAAATAACGAGATATTCTTTATCCTCATTGTACTTATATAAGAAACTTTAAAATGCGTTTTTAAAGTATCTCCATTTCTGTGCAATGATGGATAGTGCTGGCGCTTGCAATTTACCTAATGACACCCATTAAACTTCATTAGGACTTTGTTAAACCAAAGTTAAAATCGTTGCCATTGATTTTTGATCTCTAAAACCTGCTCGCAGCGAATCAGTAACTGAGCATACCAAAAGCCAGCCGACTCTCCTAGAATGCTGGTCACATTCCCGGTGGTTCAGAAGCGTTTTATGAGCAATGGCAGAGGGAGGGAGGGAGGAGGGTCTCAGCCCGTGGTCCCTGTGACATTTAGGAACGCCGTGGGTCCGACCTGCAGAGCTTAGCCCTGAGCTCGTGCTCTTTGGGTTGACAGTCTTCAGCCATCACATTGCCTGCCTCTGTCACTGCCCCGGTCGGGGAACTTTTGGTCTCTAAGCTCTAACTCAGCCTCTTTGTTTATTCATTTCATTCCCTGTATTTATTTTTTCTTGCATATACAACCGTGGGTCCCCCTTCACTTGACCTGCTAAACCTTGTGTTTGAAATGAGGAATGTCTGTTCCTAAGTGCCAGTGGAATGGTGATGAAGTAGAAGGGAAGAAAGGTTTTAACATACTCTTTTTCTAGCAAAGTAAACATCCTCTGGCTATAGGAAGAGTAAACTTCCCCTGGAAATG